ATAAAGGGAAGATGAAAAACACTCCATGAAGACTCAAGGATCAGGGAACCAGCGTAGCTGTCTGGGGCATGACTACGGAGGTGTGATCCTTGGAGGTGGACCTTCTACTTAACTGCTAACCGGAAGTGGGGAAGCCCTTTCCTTAGGTCCATGGGTCCCGCCCTCCTTCTGGCGTTACTCACGTGGGTCCGAAGCGATCTCCGACCTGCGCCGGGCGGAAATGCTGCTGGATTGCCTGCTGGTAGGTAAGCCTCTCAGACGTCAGGAAGCAGGAGAGTGCTGCAACCGGACAGGTGTCCTTGAAGAGTCTGTGCGAAAGGGGCCGGTGGGCGCGTGCTCGTGTCTGCCCCCCTACTACCCGTGGGCGCCGGTGGGTGAAGATGCGCGTTCCCTGGATCCAACGGCTAGAGAGCCGCCCAGCAGTCCCTTAGCATACCCTTCCTCCGGGTCCCTGCCCTTCCATTGGGTGGGCACTTTATTCCGCGGCCCGGGTGGTTGTAGCTTGGGTTTCCCTCCGGAAGGGAAGACCCAACGCGCAGACGTGGTCTGCTGGCTTCCTGGGAGTGGGGCTCACCTGCCGCGGAGGTTACAGTCGGTAAAGTAGATCGGGGACACGAACTTCTCCACTCGCTCCAGCGTAGTCCGCCAGTGTTTCAGAGCTGGCGTGGTCGCCATCACCGCGCCCACTCCGCTACCCGGAAGTTCCTTCGCTTGCCGGTGCGACCTACGACCTGCAGCCAAAGGTTCCGGAGTCCAAAGAGCGCTTTTTAGCCCCGGGCAGCTTTTCTTGGGACACCGACTGCTCTCGCAAGCATAGCTGCTCTGAACTTTGAACCGGAGTGGGAAGCGGATGGTGATTAAAAAGGTTCACGGTTTCGAGGTCCTCCTCTGCCACATCCGAGCTAATCGACTGATGTTTTACTTATTACTAAAACGGGACATTTAGATCCGCAAAAGCCAACCTGGGACCTTTAGGTACTATGGGGAGCCTCGCTATAGAACGAGTGAAACTGCTAATCGCAAAGTGGGCTACTCAAACGTAGCAGCAGCTCTGCAGGAGAAACACGAGACTTTTGGTTCCTGGAAACATCCCTATACAACAGGGATGGGAGCTTTTTTCCTGCCAAAATTCGTAGCATCATTCGCAGGTCATACAAAAGTATCAAACACTGTTTCGTTAAGTGCCTTCGAGTCGGTTCCAACCCATAGCGACCCTGTACAGGGTTTCCGAGGGTGTAAATCTTTACGGGAGTAGAAAGCCTCATCTGAGCAGCTGGTAGTTTCGAACCGCTGACCTTAAGGTTTGCAGCCTGATTCGTAACGACTACGCTACCAGAGCTCCTAACTTAAACACTAGCCTGCTATTATTTGATCTAACAATTAACTCACTCCTCTGGTAGCGTAGTGGTTCCGAATCGGACTGCGAACCGCAAGGTCAGCAGTTCGAAACTACCAGCTGTTCCGGGGGAGAAAGATGAGGCTTTCTGCTCCCGTAAAGATCTACAGCCTCGGAAACCCTATGCAGGGTCGCTATGAGTTGGAACCGACTCCACGGCACATAACAACAACAACGTCCAAGAGGCACTCACTCATCTCTGCCAAGAAAATTGGAAGACAACTATCTGGCTGACTGGAAGAGATCCATATTTGTGCCCATTCCAAAGAGAGGTGACCCAACGGAATGCGGAAATCATCGGACAATCTCTTTGATGTCTCAAGCGAGTAAAGTTTTGCTAAAGGTAATACAGAAACGGTTACAATCGCATTGACAGAGAACTTCCAGAGGTTCAAGCTGGATTCAGAAGAGGCCGTGGAACGAGAGATATCCTTGCTGATGTCCGATGGATCTTGGCTGAAAGCAGAGAATATCAGAAAGATGTTTACCTATGCTTTATTGACTACGCAAAGGCTTTCGATTGTGTGGATCATGACAAGCTATGGACAACATTGAGAAGTATGAGTATTCCAGAACACTTAATTGTACTTCTGAGAAATCTGTACCTGGACCAAGAAGCAGTTGTTCAAACACAGCATGGGTACACTGAATGTTTTAAATTTGGGAAAGGTGTGAGACAGGGTTGTATTCTTTCACCATACTTATTTATTTAACCTGTATGCTGAGCAAATAATACGAGAAGCTTGATTCTATGAAAAGTGTGGTGTTAGGATTGGAGGAAGACTCATTAACAACCTGCAAAATGCAGATAATACAACCTTGCTTGCTGAAAGTGAAGAGGACTTGAAACATTTACTGATGAAGTTCAAGGAACACAGCAGCCTTCGGTATGGATTGCATTTCAATGTCAAGAAAACAAAAATCCTCACCACTGGACCAATAAACAACTTTATCAACGGAGAAAAGATTGAAGTTGTCAAGGACTTCATTCTTCTTGGATCAACTATCAACATTCGCAGAAGCAGCAGTCAAGAGATCAGACGACGTAAAGTGTTGAAGAGCAAAGGTATCACCTTGAGGACTAAGGTGTGCCTGACCCAGCCATGGTATTTTCAATAACCTCACATGGATGTGAAAGCTGGATGGTGAATAAGGAAGACCATAGAAGAATTGATGCCTTTGAGTTGTGGTGTTGGAGGAGAATACTAAAAGTGCCATAGACTGCCAAAAGAACCAGTAGATCTGTTTTGGAAGAAGTGCAGCCAGAGTGCTTCTTGGAGGCCAAGTTGTCTAAGCTTCGTCTCTCATACTTTGGACATATTGTCAGGAGGGAACAGTTGCTGGAAAAGGATGTCATGCTGGGTAAGATGGCGGGTCAGAGAAAAAGAAGAAGACCCCCAACGAGATGGATCTGCCAGGTGGCATCATTGATGGCATTGAGTGTGGCTGCGGTAGTGAGGTTGGCCTAGGATTGGACATTGTTTCCTTCTGCTGTGCATGGAGTCGCTATGAGTCGGTTCCAACTACAACAATGTCCAGCCTCAGAAACCCCGTACAGGGTCGCTATGCATCGGAACCGACTCGATGGCACTTCATGACATCAATGCCCTGGTGTGGTGCTGGGTTAATAAACAGGACTGCAAGGCCGGTTTGAACCTCAAGGTTGGAGATTTTAAGTTTCAGCTGCTCCTCGGAACCCTTTACAGGATTGCTATGAGTCAGAACCGACTCGACAGCACTTAACAGTAATGGTAGTTAACAGTAAGGGCAACCTTGGCTGCTGTAGGATATTCACACCTAATCTCAAGCAGCAAGCATGAAGCCTCTTATTCTCAGCCTAGCTGTCTTTGCTCCGCAGTGAACACAACACTGTGAACACAACACTGGCATCTGCTTAAGGTGACCGGAGATGGTTGCTCTCTAGCTGGACACACTTTGCAACCCATAAATCTCGGTTTTCTCTATTACATGTTTTATATACATTGCTATCTTGCTTATCACTGGAAAGAGTTTAGAAGGCAGACCAGTCACAGCATTTTAGGACCCAAATTGAATGTATTTCAACAGAGAACTGAAGAATCCAGGGAAGCCCAGGAAACCTTAGTACAGTAGCCCCGTAGCAGTTTTATGTTCTTCCTCCCAGGCTTGCCAAGATAGTCCTTGCTTAAAATCAGTAGGAAGAGAAATATATACACAATGTTAGCCCTGATATTTTAATGGAAATACTGACCAAGTCAAGTTTACAACATTTCAAATGCAAATCACACGGGAAGGTGACTTTAGGTACAGAATACAAAATGTGATTTAAAATAAAGGTAACTTTCTGCTATAGTACAGGCTGGGTTGATTAGAGCTTGGAGCTCAGATGTCTAACAAGAGGGATGAAACTGCTCCCTGTGAAAACCCTGGCTGCAGGGTTTTTTTGGTTGCACTGGTGGGTAGTGGTTTTCTCTTGAACTGGCCCTGAAACCCCATCCTGACCTCCAAGTCGATTGCTCTGGACATACCACCACCAGGACAGCAATAAGCTGTCATGGCCCCTGGCCAAGCCCCATCAACTCCCCTCCTGGTTCCAGGTCATGATCCTTCCAGATGGATCAGAGTGGGGATGGATGTTATTGCTGGGAAAACCTTAAAATTAGTACTCACTGCTCCACCTTCCAGAGGCTGAGCACTTCCCCACCAGCTTTGCTCTGTAATTGCTTCTTCCCATCTGTCAGGCTCTTCATGCCACCCTGTGTTCTTGAGCTTATAGTCTCCTGTTCTACACGAGAAACAAAAATGCCTAATGCCAGAAAGCTCTGCCATGGATTTTGAGTGCAGGCGCCAGGATTTTCTTCTTTTTGGTGGTGGTGGTGGGGATTTGCTGGACAAAGATGAGATACTTGGCTCTGGTAAAGATCTGCTTTGGAAACCTATGGGGCTGTTCTACTCTTGTCTTACAAGGTCGCTGTGAGTCAGAACCAACTCAACGGCAGTGGGTTTTGGCTTCTTTTTTTAATTAAAAAGCAAAAACACAACGTTACTTTACAAATCTGACTAGGGCAATGGTGCTGGAGAAAAGTCCACCAGAGTACTGGGAGGGGGGGATTCCGGTTGGTCTTTGTTCAGAAAGTTCAGGCTGACAACATATAAAAACCCTCATCATTCGTGTTAAATGTCTGCCAGTTTAAATTTATATAGTTAAAAAATATATATATATATCACTTGCAGCTGTTAATGAAATGTATCAAATCCGCTCCCTCCCAACCCCATTTACGCCACATACCATATGCCCACTTGTTTCAAATACTGGTTTGGTATTTAAGATGTTCACATTCCTATTTTCAATAAGGATAAGAAAAAAAAAATATAGAAGTACAAATATGTAGCTTGACGACTTACCCAAATATAAAGGATTCTCAAACAGTTGAATAGGGGAGGGAAAGAATGGAGTAGTCTATTTGTAAAACTTGGAATCTCTTGATTTGGGCTAAGTGCAAGTTACAGTTAACCATTTAAAGTAGAATTCTGTTTGTACTCTGGATAAGGAGTTCAAGCCAAAAATCCCTGTTTCACAGTAGTTCTCTGGTGAGGACAAGGGACTTGGGCTGAGAATTTATTCCTTAAGTAAGAACCAAGCTTTATTTATTTACAAAAAAAAAAAAAAAAAGTTCAGGGTGAGAGGGAAGAAGACAAGTTTTACACAAAAGTACTACAATGGTTAACTCCCTTTGGTAAAAAGTGTAATAAATGTCTTGTACATCTGTTTATAGGTACTAAATCTGAAGCCACATGGTACTATGATACACAAGAAGCTAGAGCAGTTAGGCTAGCACATCAAAGCATATTTCTTTTAATAAAAAATTGACAGTATGTACATTATTTACAAAAAAAAAAAAAAAAAAGTTAAAATTGTGTATGTGCATGTCAGAGAGTGAAGCTGGTGGACGGACTAGGATAGACCAGTACAGAAGCAGGCACAAAACGGTCCCACAGGGGCTACAAAGGACGGCTGACTGGGACTTGTTGAAGTGGAGAACCAGGGAGAAAAGGGTGGGCAGCAAAGGATTCGTCAGGAATCAAACCCACAAGATGATCAATCCCAAAGCCAAACTGCAGGTCCCAGATAAAACCTAATGGGGGGTAGGTGATCTAGATTTGAGTGACCAGTGGGATAAAATAAAATAAAATAAAAAATCCAGTTTTGTCTTTCCTTTTAGGGGGAAGGGGATGGAGCAGTGACCATCACAGTTACAATCCATCTGAGCTTTAAGTCCTTCCGCAGTCTGTTTTGTAAATGCACTCCCATTCGGTTCCCTCACTGAAGGTCAGGCCACAGGAGACTCCAGTCTTAACTCTGCTGGCGTGTGCAAGCAAGCAACATGTCTTTGTGCTTGCATGGACATCCTTCCCCACCAGGGCAGGCAGGTGGCCAAAACCCCTTAGGAAAAGTTCCAGCTCCGGCTTTGTAAAGTATCCATATTCCTTATATGTAGCCCACTTGGTACCAGGTTGCACCAGCCACACACAGATCAGGTGGCCATGTCCCAGAGAGGCCCAGTGAGGCTTGAAAGGCATCTTCCTTGTTTCTCCAGTATGCGTGAGTACACATGCCCACACACACTCCCCTCTCAGGTTATCTGCTCTGGCTTTGCAGTTACGGGGCTTTGAATACTGTGCCGTATTTGACACGGTACTTGTTAATGCTCACAAAATGCAGGGTCTCTGTGTCACAGGTGGTGGTACAGGGCACCAGGCCCTCCAGCCCCTCACCCATGAGCCATTTGCTGGTCTCTGCGGCCATTTCACGGGGCACATGCTCCTTGGTCCATTTATCTACCCAGGCCTGGAACCTCTGATGTAGCCTCTTGCTTACCCGCTCATGGGACTGCAAAACAGAAAAAGAAAACTTGAAATAGGACTCCAGGAGCTTTCAAACACCAAGCTCAATCCTTTCCTAAAGTTGCAGAGAAAAGATGTGGCCTCAAGAATCAGCACTAGGTAATCCAAAGAGACACAACACAGGGAGTGTCTTTAAAAAGAATTGGAAGAGGTTAAGAACAGGAGGCATGTGAAGAGATGGAAACTCACAAAGCCCCTAAAGAAAGGCCAAAATGGGTTCTAGGCAGAACAAATGGAGGGCTTCTCAATTTTGGCAAGTATTAGAATCAACAGGCTCCACCAATGTGCATTTAAATCAGCAACCCAGCTGACTGTAATGCACCCAGACTATGAGCTACATAAGCCATGTTGTTGCTCATTTCTAATAGCATGGTCCACTACACCAAGAAAACCCAAAGAAAAAGCCAAAAAACCCCAAACTAGCTATTGTGGATTCTGCAGTCTGGCTATGTGGCCTCTGCCCACCTTTCCATCGCCCCTTTCCTCAGGTCTGCCCATGATTCTACACTCACCATTACTACATCAATTCCTCACTATTTCCTTTTCTGAAATTTTGTATTTACAATAGTAAGATATCCACTATCTGACTATATGCACATTAGCCATATATGAGGGGCTTCAAAAATTTTGTGGGAAAATGAAAAGATAATGTAATCTTTCTATGAACATTCTGAAGCCCCCTTGCATGTCTGGCAGTAATGAATGTGGAGGTATGAAGCAAGAAGAACTCTGGCTGTGATGGTTAAGACTTATGTGTCAACTTGGCTGGGCCATGATTCTAAGGGGTTTGGCAGTTACCTATCTAATGATATGATCTAGCAGTTATGTCATGATGAAGTCACCCTTCTTAATTTTCACATAATGCCATTTTGGTCTTTGGAGCCTAACCCTATATAGTTTGTCAAACATGCCAACTTCTTTCCTTTCTCTTAGTCCCTGCATGTGTTGTTTCCTTTGTCTGAAAAGCATCTCTCCATAGTTTTTCACAAATGGGTTCCTTGTCATTAGCCAGGCCTCAAGTGTCACTTCCTCAGAGTCCTCCCCCCATGAAAGCAGGGCTTGCATACTAGTTGCCCTTGATCTCTTCCCCTGGGCTGCTTCCTTGGTAGTGCTTATCACAAAAGTAGAGCTGATATCTGTACTTCACTGGTGTAGGCACAATGTCTGACATATAACTGCACCACGAATGTTTCAAAAATGAGTTAGAATATGAAAGCAGGCTGAATTCATACAAGTAAACGATCAGTTACCATTTGAAGTATATATTTTGATACCAGAAGGTCCCATCAGGTAAATTTTACTTGCTGACTGAACTGAACAATTCTCAGCTCAAAGGACTCTGGGATGGGTCTGCTCCAGATTAGTTCTCACCTGATGGGCACGGAGCAAGGCGGTCCTCCGATACATGTAGTCCTCCGACTTGATCACATAGACCATCTTATAGGAATTCAATTTGAACCGACACTCCAGCTTATCCAGGCTATCAACGTTCTCCATGGGCTTCTTACTGGGCCCTTCCTTCCCCTCTTTTTCCTGCTGTTCTCGACCACGCTGACACTTTCGAATGCGCCGCAGATTCCTACAAAGCAGGATGGAGAAGCCTGTCCAGCTATAGACTCCCATGACTTCCTACAAATGACTTCTCAGCCCTCAACCATTCTCTACTCTCAAGTCTCCCAATTTGCCTTGGCAGAGGTAGCTTTGAGTTAAAATCGTCCAGTCCTCCCTCCATCTATTTACATACATACTTACTGCTAGAGTTCCGTTTTGGGATTTTTTCCCCCCTAGACAAATTAGGGTCAGATGATCTATGTTGTTCTATGGTGCTTTGACATATGCTCCAGGTAAGCCATGGCATAGTAGCCATACAAACCTTGAATGAGCATCCTCAGGAGACCAAACAATAAGTCATTTAAGGTCTCCTTCCTCTACTGTAACAAGTATGAAACGATGACTGGTGACTTGGCTCACTCACCTTGGAAGAAACACTGGTTTCTGTGCCAGATGCTCACGGAGCTCAGGAGAGGTAGTATCGGAATTCATGTAACGCTCAACATAGTCTGACCAGCGCTAGGATTGTAAACACAAAATAGGGGTGAGGGGAGCCACAAAAATGAACTTCTGCTTATTGGGTAGTCTAGCAAATTCTGACTATGTTGTTAGATGCCATCGAGTCGGTTCCAACCCATAGCGACCCTGTACAGGGTTTTCGAGAGTGGCTGGTGAGCTTGAACCACCAACCTTGCAGTTCAAACTTTGAACAAAGTTCAGGCTTTGCAGTCTGGTGCATTAACCCATAGCACCACACCAGGATTCCTCTATGACTATAATGCTCCCCAAATCCACGAACAAAAAAATCTCTGTCCATAATAACAGCTTCATAATGACATGTTAGTTACTCGGCATTAGAACAAAGATGAACAGTTCTGTTACTGGTAACCATAAACCACATTTCCACTACGTGAATCTTTCTTCTCTATTCCCATCATCATACTTTCAGCCTGTACTTCTCATTTACATTACTGGACAGACACAACTAAGAAAACCACTTTTCCTTGCTTACTTGGGAAGGTTGAGAACTCCTGGCTTCAACCAGCCCAATAAAAACACTGCCTTAGCCTTCTAGAATATGGTCAGCTGGGCAGACTGACTCCCAGGGAACGTTTCTCTACTATGCACACTACTACCTCTGCTTCCACAGGGTCATCGGAGTTCTCCTCTTCCGTGTCCAGAAGCTCAATGGTCAGCTGGACCTTGTCTTGGCTCTGAATGAACATAAGCTGCAAATAAAAAGTTGAGTGTAAATACAAGAACATGTCCAAGGTTATAACTTAGCTTCTTAAGGGTTGGGTGGGGTTAGGCAAAACATTGAAACCATTTTCCTTTCTTTGTTACAATGGAGAATAAAACACTCTAGAGCTCGAGAGGCCAGTGACAAAGAATAGTCCAATCTCACAAGCAGCAAGATAAAATGTTAAGGCAAAAAGTACTATTTCATATTCCACCTCTCTCAGATTAGCTAACATAATCAATGTAATCAAGAGTGCTTTAAAAAGACAAGTAGTTTATCAGAGAGAAACAAAGGCACATATGAGGGGGCTTCCAAAAGTTCACGGAAAACTGGGTTTAAAAGATAATGGAATTTCCCCATGAACTTTGTAGAGTACCCTAGTATAGCCAGAATCATTAAATGTCAATGCTTTCTCTTCTTAGATTTACTGAAGTCTAAGGGATAAAAAAACAAAACCCACAAACTGTGTACCAATATTATATGGAAAGTAACAACTGTGTGTATGTACACTATACTAAAGACAACACAAAATACTAAACGTGTTGGAACAAGGACCCAAGTACATGAACACAGTAAGATTATTGTAGTGGTTATCAATTGTATTTGAAATGTGAAATTCTGAGTTCTGGTAATACTATGTGTGCTTTAAATATAAATATATATGTATATATGTTTAAAAGCAACACATGCATTAGAAGCAAAAGGAAGTCGTGTTTTGCATAAAAGAACACTCCAATGATGCTGCCATAGGGATCCTCTGATTTCAGAAGGGCTGGGTGATAAATGCTTTTACCCTAAGGGCTCGCTGCCAAGATGAGCACTGTCAGAAGCACCTGGAGAAGACTGGAATTTAGAAGAAGTGAGAAAACTCTATTTCAACACTCTTGATTTTATATAAAGAAAAATCTAAGATTCAGAGAGGAGAAACTATTTGCTCAAGGTCACAAAGCTAATTTTAGCACACAGGGCCGAACCAGGTGTGGCTCCCCAGAACAATCTTCCAGAAAAACTGTAAAAAAAATTCTCTACCAGCTAGTAAAATGTGAAACTTGACAACACACACACACTTACTTCCAAAATATATCTGAAACAAAGTAACAGTCTGCCCCAAGCAGTTAGCTAAAAGCCCCTCCTAGTCTAGGCAGACCTAGAGGGACAAGATTGGTCCTATCACTGTAATGACTGCAATCCAAACCTATTGCCGTCCAGTCGATGCTGACTCATGGTGACCCAGAGTAGAACTGCCCCAGTGGGTTTCCAAGGCTGTAATTTTTACAGAAACAGATTGCCATATCTTCCTCCTGTGGAGTGACTGGTTGGGTTCAGCCTCCAAGTTATGGTCAGCAGCCAAGCACTATAACCACGGTGCAACCAGGGTTCCTTGTGCTGATTATGATCCTTTCACAGTGATATTAATTAAAAGAAGAGTATCCTCCAGATGGGTAACTCGTGATACTGTAGTGAATAATGCTTATCAGGATGGATTATGAGGGTTAGAAATGCAACGGTAGAAGTTTTGTAACAAGGAAGGGAGTGTAACAAGTGTAACAAGGATTAAATCTCTAGGATAGGAGCGGAGGCCTCTGGGATCATCAACAGAGAAAAGCCGAGAGCGGGACCCTACCCAGAGAAACAGAGATGCCTGAGATGGAGACAGTGATGATGACGTGGCGTGATGAAGTGACTGGGGACTTTGGACCCAGAGAGGGAAAGGGACTGTGGCCGAAAACTGGGGGGAGGAGGGAGAAGTGTAGGGGGCCGGTTTCTGGGATATACCCTTTGGGTGGTTGATGGTGCATGGAGGGGATTGGAACCATGGCAATGAGATGTTATACGATGGAATGAATGCAAAACTAAAGTTCTCCCATGTAAACTATCATATAATTCACAATAAAATATTAAAAAAAAAAAAAGCAATCAAACACATAAAACATCTTAAAAACAAAAAAAGAAGAGTATCCTCTTAAGATGTCTAAACCTGAACTCAATTGCACCCCAGCAGGCTCTTCTAGCACCTATCTGGTGAGGCCCAGCACTCTCACCTCTGTAAACACTCTCAGCTTCAGTATTATGCTGCCGTAACCACCATCTCAATTTAGTAAGACTCCAGTGGTAAACATGTCTCTACCCCCTCACTCTTTACTCAGTGATGCCAAACTGATATCACGAGAAACTCTCATGGGCATATACTCTTAAAATGCTTCACAAGGTCCTGGATAGAATGGGGGAAAATGTGCCAAAACCAAAGTCACAAAAAAAGACTAGACTTACTGGTCAGACAGTGGAAACCCCGAAACTATGGCCCTGGATTACCCTTCAGGTCTGGAATTGAATTTACCGCCATGGCTCAGTTTTCAGACAAGTAATAAATAGGTGTATGGGGTTGGGAGGTCACAGACTTTAATGAGGAATGTACACACATAATGGCCAACCAGTCAAGATCAAAAGGGCATTTACCCAAAAGCAACAATTAAGAAGGGCTGGAAAAGATGGAGAAATGGAAACAAGTAACACAGGGAAGTGGGACAGCTCATGCTACCCCGAATGAATCACACATTGTTACAATAAAATGCAGGGCAGGACTACTGAATGTAAAACTAATAATCTGCTCTGAAAACCTCACTCAATTCACAATAAAAAGTTTAACAACAACAACAAAAACTTCACAGTGAACCAACCGCAACAAACACACTCCTTATAAAGCAATTCCTGGGTTACAGCATTCTACTCCTAAATCTTGCTTTCAAGTTAAATTTGTATGCAAATTGAAACAGGCATGGTTCATATTTAAAATATACCCAAATGATTGTTTCAGTACACAGTGTGCCTTTCTCTATATAAAAAACATTAAAGAAACACTCCAGATATACTAAAATTCTTCAATTCAATGTTACAGTAATAGTAACAATGTTTTCATGCATATTGCATAGTAGCGCCTGTTTATTCACTATATGTACCTCAAAATGTTTATATAACAGGCTTGGTGAATATCAGTTAAACAATCCTAAAGCAGGGATTACCTTACTTAATATGGTTATAAAGCTCTTCTACTATTCAGACCCACGTTCTACTTAATTCCTTCCTTCCTTCCTTCCTCCCTCCCTTACTTCCTTCCCCAACTGCCTACATTTTGATCAATATACTCTCACTGCATGTCCACTATATATCAGTCAGGGGACACATTCAGAAGAGGACATCGTTTCTGATGGAAAGAATTCAATTTATTAAAGGAAATAGGAATATAGACAGGAATGTTATTGTTAATGTTGTCAAGTAGGTTCCGACTCTCATTAACAACCCTAGAAAGGATTCCAAGGAGTGGCTGGTGAGTTTGAACTGCCGACCTTGGTGTTGAGTGCTTATCCTACAGTGTCATACCAGGACTTCAATAAAAAAGTATACCTACAAAAGGTGTCTGGTGAGGTGCTGTAGGATAGGCACTCGATCACAAGGTCTGTTTGAACAGTATGGTCGGTGGTTCAAACTCAGCCACTCCTCAGAAAGCCTATACAGGGTCGCTGTAGGTCAGAACTGATTCAACAGCACTTAACAACAACACACCTACAACTATGGAGTACTAGTGTGGTGCTGTAGGATAAGCACTGCACTGCTAACCTCAAGGTAGGTGGTTCAAACTCATCAGTCACTCCTTGGAAACCCTATACAGTGTTGCTATGAGTCTGAACCTAGTCAACGACATGTAACAACATACCTACAACCATACTTGCTCTCTCACCGTTTGTACTTATTCAACTGGTATGCTGAACAAATAATGAGAACCTAGAGTATTATACGAAGAAAAACATGGCATCAGAACTGAAGGAGGACCCATTAACAACCTACAATGTATACATGATACAACCTTACCTGCTAAAAGTGAAGAGGACTTCAAATACTGATAAAAGACTACAGTATTTGGTATGGATTTTACCACAATGTAAAGAAAATAAAAATCCTCACAACTGGACCAAAAATAAGAATAGAAGTCTCTGGAGTTGTCAAAGACTTCAGCCTGCTTGGATCCACAATCAACAAGCATGGAAGTAGCAGTCAAGAAATCAAATGATGTCTTATGTTAGGCAAATCTGCTATATAAGACCTTTTAAAGTGTTCAAGAGCAAAGATGTCAGTTTGAGGACTAAAGTGCACCTGACCCAAGCCATATTTTCAATCACCTCATATCCCTGGGATAACTGGACAATGAATGAGGAAAAGCTGTATTAGCAGCAAAGCACCTGAATTATGGTATTAAAGATGAATACTAAAAATACCATGGACTGCCAGAAGAACAAATCTGTATTGAAATAATAGTCAGAATGCTCCTTAGAAGCCAGTATGGTGAAAGATTGTCTCTCATACTTCAGGTGTGTTATTAGGAGGGACCAGTCCCTGGAGAAAAACATCATGCTTGGTAAAGTAGATTGTCAGCGAAAAAGAGGAAGACCCCCCAATAAGATGGATTAAGCCAGAGCAGCCAGCATCAATAGGCTCACAAACATAACAAGCGTTAAGGATGGTAGCGGACCAGGCAGTGTTTCATCCTGTTGTACACAGGGCTGCTATGAGCTGGAACTGACTCGACAGGACCTAACAACAACCTACAACTAAGTCACTACAAAAGTACTTAGACCTGCACAATGTGCTGTGAGACTTCCTCCTCAGCAAACTGACAAAGGCTTCACTTCACTGAAGTGGCACGGAACTGGGTGGGCCAATCCATTTCAGGCAGAAAAATTGTGTTGACAAAATACCCACACTCCAAAAAACAGGGAGACAGAATATGAACAAGCAATACACAGAAAAGGAAAAAAAAAAAAAACCTGGCTTAACAGTAGGAAAATGGGGAAATTGAATTCAATTCATATTAATTTCTTGCCCATATGACCAGTAAAAATGAAAATGTTTGATAATACCAAGTGTCGGCTAACGGATTAGAAAAGAAGTATTCTTATGAAAGTGTATACTGGTACAGACTGCCACTTTGAAGGGTGAAATGTTAATATCAACTATAATTTTAAAATATGTACAACCTGTGACCCAGTAATTTCATTTTTCTGTCTCTACCCTAGGTAAAGATTAACACATGAACAGGGATACAACAAGCACAATGAAATGGTCGTCATTGCAGCACTATGTGATACCAGTAAGATGTAGACTATGTATCTTGTCTTGTTAAGTGTGGTAGAGTCGGTTCCGACCCATAGCGACCCTGTATGGGGTTTCCAAGGCTGTAAATCTTTACGGAAGCAGAAAGCCTCATCTTTCTCCCGCGGAGTGGCTGGTAGTTTCAAACTGCTGACCTTAAGGTTCGTACCCAATTCATAACCACTACGCTACCAGAGCTCCTTAGACTGTGTATAGTCTGACATTATGTATTTCTACACACACATATATAAACACAGAGAAATGGATTGGATGTATATGCATCAAAGAGAAAAACATGCCAGATGTAGCCAAGCAGTGTCAAACATGCACAGAATAAATAAAGGGAGAAGAGAAGGACTAGAAGATGTAAAGGGCTGCTTATGCCAAACTAAGACTAGTGAATTTTATTCTCTATGCCAAGCATTTTAAAGACGGGCCACTTGGGTGGCACAACTTTCCTGGGCCCTAAGCCTTAGTTCTGCTTCTCTAGTAGCCATTCTTACCTATAGGATCTACCCATTCCTTTACAGACCGTCTTCTGCACAATTCAATGACACTACTATACTAAGTCATTGTGTGAGGAATGTAATTCCGTTCACTATAAAACTAAATACATACTAAACTCCAAATAATAAATACTGAAGATTTAAAAGCTGAAAGAGTTTGGAAAATATTTTCCTAAGTGTGAAAATCCTTTGATTTGGTTTTGAACATTAGGTCTTAAGACAGAACTAGAAAACTCATTTCTAGTTCTTCGATTTAAATTAGGAAAAAGCAAAGAAGAGTTAAGACTTTTAAGAAATAACTAAGTATAAACAGACAATTAGGTGAACCAATCTTTTGGTTGGCAGCTCAATACGTGGCCCACTGCACCACCAGCATACCTTTCAAAAGATGGCTAGTAAATAGCTTTTAAAAAAAAATAAACACCCAGCGTATAAATTGAGTAAAATACATGATAAAACACTGCATCCAGTATAACTGCTTTCAAAATATATCTACTCAAGTACAGAAAGTCATTGCTAACTCATTTAGAAGTTGGTGATCCCCCTCCCTCAGTGGATTATGTGAATACTTTAAAAGTACTACAACATGGAATAATCCTTATAGAAAGAAACAGGACACAAAATTACAAAAACCATGCAACTAAGGTTTTTTTTTAAAGGCATTAAAAGCTGACAGGAAAGCTTAAAAAAAAACAACCAAACCAAACAAACCCAACAACAGTGGCATGTCCATGGGAGGCATTACTGTCACTTCACCATGCTTTCTACATTCCCTCTAATGAGTTCCAGAAGTTAAATCACTGGGTCCAAGTAATCTGGTATGGTTTTTGATTTACGACTGACAGATCTAAACTTACTTTGTCACCAGCAACTCTCACCTTAAAGCAATTCTCATCTGACATGAGCTGCTCGGCCTTCCTCTGATACGCTGACTCAAGGAGGTTCCTGGACGTCTGCGTGCTCAGCGTGCCTCCAGTGGCCCCGTTATTGTTTTCTGACAGGTAAAGGTCAGTCACCTGCACACAGATCTCATCACTCACAATGTGCTGCAGCTGAAATCACACAAGGGCCAGTTGTCAGTGAATAAGAAAGCATCTGTTTCTTCCTGTCATACAGCCATCATTCTATGATGTTAGTCACTCAGCTCAGAAAGTGTTTTGTTGTTAAAATTTTTAGAGAATTACACCCACCACGACCACCATTTTTTTTTTCTTGGAGAATACTTAAGCCATATCTTCAAACATATCACTAATCAATGAGTAAAACATTCACAATGATTTAAAAGCATAACCATATGTAACTCAAAGCCTGAAACTCATTAGGTGTTTAAGAAACGGTTGCTGAATTAACTGCCCAGAGGCCCTCTGCTAAAGAAGCATGTTGTTTAAGTGCTGTGGAGTCAGTTTTGACCCACAACGACCATGTTTAAGGTTTCTGAGGATATAAATCTTTAAAGGAGCACAGAAAGCCTCATCATTCTCCCATGAAGCAGCTGGTGGGCTTGAACTGCCAACCTTGTGGTAAGCAGTCCATTGTTTGTTTATTCTACAGTCACTGTGCTACCTGCTATAGTTGGCACTGATAGTCATGCTTCCTGACTCCTAGACCCCATATTCTTGCCTGAGTGTCTATTTTACTTTAAAATAACCACCAAGGCATCCTAATTTTAGGAAGATACATTCTTTTTGAAGCACCAGTAACTATGACAACTTATTTTTAATATTATAATAAAAAGACTTAAAATGACAAGTTTATTTGTAGATAACTGGACACAGTACAAGGTAAGAAGGGTTTAAGGGCAGTAGAAAGACTAGTAGTACCTCCAGCAGCTGGAGATGGTTAAGTAAGTTATAATTAGTCCAGACGACATATTCGGATACCGTAATTTGAAATAATGTTCAGGGTGACTTGATAAAAGGCAAAGGCTTAGCCACTCACACCTCCCAGCTAGGCTGATCAGACTCGTTCTCTTGGTAATTTAAAATGACACACTGAGAGTGTGGTCGATTTTTTTCATAGGAGCATCAGGATGGAAAGGTCAGGGAAAGCCAGCAAGCACTGCCATGGCAGGCCAAAGCCCACAGAGGCTAAAGAGGCCTTGAGTGCAGATGTCTGTCGGCAGAGAAGCATGAGAATGGAGCAGATGTTCAGAAAGAACATATGTAGAAAAGGAAGACCCTTCCAGTCCAGTTCTTTGCAGGATCTGGGCATTTTATGAGTGCTGTACTTAGAGGAGTCCTGGTGTAGAGCTATAGGATTGAACCGAAAGGCTAGAGTTCAAACTCACCAGGGACTCCTCGGAAACCGTTTACAATACAGGGTCACTATGAGTAGGAACCCACTTAACAACAACATACTTAGATATAAAACTGTCAACTGTATTCTTAAAACAAAATAAATTCCTCTTAAATTAGCTTGGAAAAGGTCAGATAACTTGCATAGTTTGATATTGAGATATGTGTTCCATCCCTAGTCAGCAATGAAGTCTGGGACCTGGAGCACTAAATGAAGAAGAGTACGAGAAGATACTCCTATTCCTCCAATGGGAGCTTTAGCACATGCTTTAAAAACTCAGTAGAGAGAACAAACAAGATGGAGGATC